TACTCCGAACGCATAAGTAAACAGCATATAAAAGCAATCAGATAAGATAAATTATTTAAGCATGAGTTCGCTCTATGAAGCAAGTGTTACTGACTTATCCAATTTGGGAAAATTTTCCAATGTAGTGAATTAATATATTATTGCGATCCGGAGGTCGAGATCGCTAGGCAGTAGTGATCTTGGACCGAAGGATTGCGGGTTCGATTCCCGCCTCGGGCATGGTTGTATTGTATTCGTTCTTTCACCCCCTATCATCATATCGTGTCAATCTCACAGTTACCATACCGTTAAAAGCAATAGTGGTCGCTTATGACCCAGAAGGTGAAACAACAAAACAAAAAGGAATGATATTATATGGCTCTTCAAACAAACAATCGTAGTTTTGAGCCGTTTTTCAAGTGGAGAATAAATGAAATACGTAAAACTTAATAAGTGCCTGAAGAAATAACAAATATATATTCCATCTTCCAGAATTCCTAATGTATCCGTACTGTGTACGGATGCACATGTATTCTTCTGGAAACGGCGCAGGAAATGTGGCCAATGTATAATTTATCTATTCACGCTCATTAAGATTCGTAAATAAAGTCAACAGTATTAAAACATGTGTTGTCTCATATATTTTTATTAACTTTTTTCCGCATGCTAATAAGAGTCTGTGGAATAATGTCGTAGTATAAAACACGCATCTCCAGACACACCAGATTAGCAGAGGGGGGAATGAAATAGTAATTTGGGCGTTCTGAGCTTAACCCAACGAGACATTTTCCACGACGATGACAATTCGCTTCTCATCAGGATCCGAGAAGACTGCCAGAATATTTTTTTCTACTCAGCGTAGATTTATTTACAACTTCCCCTCTTAACTTATTTCTGTAAGCGAGGTGATTAAGCAGTGATATTATTTACCAAAGCTCTAAAAATTAGGAAAGAATTAACTCTTCACGCACACTTGTCAGCCTTCCAATTAGGAGTTTACGAGACTAATAAAAATAAGAGACTAATTATATATTCCACCCACACAATTTATGGTTGAATTCGATAAGAAATTTTAAATCCTAGTTTGAACTATTATCAAGATTCGAGTAATTTAATATTAAAGTATATCTCCAAAAATGTCAATATCTCATTCTTCATATATATATTTTTAAGCAAGTTCAAGAAATAATATGGGTAACATTAATATTACCAATTTTTCTCAAGGAGATTCTCCGATAAATCAGAGTATTATGTCTAAGAAGGCTATCACAGAATTTTTCATTATTTCATTCATGGTCATTCATCTTGCATCATTTTACATCATCAATTTACAGATAACTCTGAACAAAATTATTAACCGCTCTTTTGAATTCATTGTTTTGTGTAGACATTTCAACATTTCTGGGCGAGTCTCGCGAAAAAGAGCAGTTTCTCAATTTAATTCATTTTTTTAAAATTAAGATATTAAAATGGATGTACCTACACAGCAAATAGTTAATCAAAAAACCAATAAATCAAATCATAATTAACAAAACCTCAACTAGATATGAAATAATAACGAATGGTCAAGGTTGCAGGAAAACGATGCTCAAATTCTTACAATGACCAGCAATTTGAACACTGACGCACTAACTAATATTCGTATGTGTAGAGTTTTTACTAAAACTAAAATATAATTATTTACAGACTTCTTACTGCCGGTCCAGCGACGGCTTCTTGCAAGGTTTACGCAACCATTCCTTACAACGTTTCTCAAATATTCACAGTTTATTTTAAATGAATTAATTGTGAATGATCATTTCTTCAATAACCTTTTCATTCTTTCATTCTTTGAAACTTCCCGCTCATTCTTATCTGCCTGTGTTGTTTGAAGTTGTGTCGACAAACCGAAATGTGGTGAAATAGTGCTCGAAGGCGCGTATCTCCTAAGAGTTTGGAATTCGTATGCGTATGCGATAAAGGTTTGTTAGTGGGACTGCAAACCTTGTAGCAACCAGAGCGGATAAAAGAAGCGTAGCTGTTGAATACTGTTATTGATGTTATTGTTGCTAACGTCGTCGCGATTGTAAATGGAGTTTTTACTTCAATTCTGCAGATTATGCATTCTCATACATTTTCACTGGAAGGAGGACATTATTAATTTTCACCGGAATTAGATAATTGTGAGTTCATTTAATAAAGCGAGTTCCAAGCCGGCAGCGGTGCAGGTCGGACGTGCCAGCTGCTCCGCTCCGCGCGTTACCAGTG